ATACCCAAGAAAGACGGAGGTAGATCATGGGGGGGGGGCTGACCATATATATATATGTGTGTGAATTTATATGAACCCCCAAAAGGAACTACTTTAGGGCCTATGGCTAGTCTCGATTTTACCAGGGGATTCTACGTGTTAGTCTAATGTTAGCCTAAGAGGTCTACAAGGGCTCCTCTAGGGTTCTTGAAGCAGTCTTTCAGGATCTACCCTAAACTCTGGACCCTAAAGATAAAACCCTAAACCCTAAACCCTTTTTATGGGAGTTTCCCCAAAAATCCAGAGAATCGATTCATCAGGTACTGTGATTGAGGTTTGTGTAAGTATCCCCTCGAAAAGGGATTCATATCATCAACCGTATCTTTGGGGAGCTTGGCGATCGATAAATGACTGGTTAAGGTTAAACGCGCGAGTGCAGGGTTATGTTCAACGAAGAGGAGCTTCTGAAAATCAGGACTCGTGTTAGTCTGTTAGCAGTTATCAGCCACGGGATGTAGGCTGTATGCAAGCTATATCCGGACTAGCAACAGCAGCCAATGCAAGCTGTAAACTGTGAACATCCCTACACCGTCGACCCTAAAGTTAGTACTACCAGTGCTACTGCTGCTCTTCGCACTAAACCCTGATGCCGAACAACCCACTATGCGTGCAGAGAAGTGCACATCGGAACGATTGCCTAAACCCTAAACCCTAAACCCTTAAACCTAAACCCTAAACCCCAATCAGAACGACAGCCCTCAGCCCAAAGGCTCCCGGTGTCACCTCAATATAACTGAAAAGCCTTACTAGTAACAATAAAAATAATAATAGCAACAACAATCATAACAAACATATGCATACTAGTAACCATGACAATATGAACGATAGCAATAACACTACTTAAAACAATAGCAATAAGGGGTACCCTGTTGTCCGATGCTTCGATCATTCCTTTAAGGTGGAACCCGCCTTTGGCGGCATAGCGCTTGGCAGTCAGCAGCTCTGATGGGCTGTACCTGGGATCTCCACAGAGCACCCGAACCTAAACCTTAGGCTTTATGGCCGACCTAAACCTGAAACACCAAACCCTAAGCACCTAAAATCTGATTTATGCCCGACCTTTAAACCTTAAGCCCCAAACCCTAAGCACCTATAATCTGAACTCAAAAATCCCCAGAAAACCCCTAAGCCCCTAAAGCCTGAAATCCCACAATCCCAAGACTTAAACCGGAAGCAATCTACTGCAGGGGCGACTCCGGGATTGAGGTTGCAGATGGAGGAGTAAACCCCAAACCCTAAATCCTAAATTACTAAACCCTCAAACCCTAAACCCTAAACCCTAAATCCTAAACCCTAAACCCTCAATCCTAAACCTCAAGGGCTCTCCGGTGGTCGGAGTTAGGGTTAAGTTTTAATTTGCACGACCCTTTGCCATCCGCAAGGTGTCTCAGGGTTTCGAGGTTTAGGGTTCGGGGGTCTAGGGTTTAAGGGTTCAGGGTTAAGGGTTTAGGGTTTAGGGTTTAAGGTTTAGGGTTTAGGGTTTAGGGTTCGGGGGGTCGAGGGTTTGGAGTTTCATGGGTCCCGGTACTCAATTACGGTTTGGGTTGGAAGGTCAGGGTTGCGGGTAGGGATTCAGGGTTTAGGGTCTAAGGGTTTAGGGTTTAGAGTTTCGGGTTTAGGGTTTCGGGTTCAGGGTTTAGTCTAAGGCAGCTATACCGTGAAGCCGTACAACTAGATAGGTGGATGGCCAGCTATGTGCACGAGAAGCTGTGCACACCAAGCACCAAAACAGTATGTCCTAGCTAAATTTCCTGAATCCGGAACCTGACACACGCAAACACTCTAGCGCCACCACCACCGCAGCAGCAGCAATAACAACCACGACGACGATATGAAGCTGACACCCTACAAAGGCCTCGTCCAGCTGTATGAGTATTCAAAACACCATGCACTGCATCCCGGGAGCAGGAAGGTTTCCTGCAGCACGGATGGCAGTGGGGTCCGGAGGTACTGGGGCAGGGTTCCTACTTAAAGAGGGCCCAAACGTGTCGGCAATAGTGTCCTGTTAAGCGCCCCTATAGAAATATACGTAAGTATCTGTAATGTACCAACACGCTCTTTCCATCGGGGGAGCTTTCGCGAGGAAGAAATGCGAAACTCTTGCTGGGTATCTATCGCTTCACTGCTTTTCTACGCCGCCCATGAACGCCGAACCAACCCACGACCCTAAACCCTGAACCCTAAACCCTAAACCCTGAACCCTAAACCAACAAACCCTAGATCCGAGTGAAACCTGAACCTTTAGTCTTAAACCCCAAATCCTAAACTCTAAAACAGAAATCTGAAACCCCAAGACCTAAAGCCCAAACCATGAATCCTCAACTCTGAATCCTAAACCCTGAATCCTAAACCGTGAACCCCAAACCCTAAACCCTGAATCCTGAATCGTGAACCCTATACATCTTGAACCCCGAAAAGCAGAGAGAACTCCGATTTCGGGGCGCAGTTCCCTAGCCCTATATGCTACATGTCACACTTCCTGGGCGAACTTGAAGTTAGCCTTGTTAGATTCATTAGGATATATCTATATATCTATATATCTATATATATATATATATCTATATATATATATATAGGCTGAGAAACATGCAACAAGGCCGCTGGATCAGTTGCTTATTGAGCTTTGAGAACTGTTTATCTTTTTCGACTGCCCTGTGCCACAGATCTGAAGAAAACTTGGTGCAGCCATGGGCCTTTCGGGTGGGTTTTGGTCTTGGGTTTCGGGGTTTAGGGTTTAGGGTTTAGGGTTTAGGGTTTCGGGGTTCAGGGCTTGTTGTCAGCTGTCTTTCGAACCCGACTTCAGAAAACCGTGATGTAGGGGCCTGAATAATTCAGAATGGGGCTTGTGGGGTCTATTCTACTATTAATTATGAAATAAGGAACCCCCCAAAACTCTATTCTAATTATTAAGGCCCCTATAGTAAGCCCAAAGCCCTATGATCCTACAGCCCGAGACCCGAAAGGCCAGAACGCCACAGAAGGGGGTATGCTATCCTATGATCATATGCATCGGAGAACCCTCCGGAGCAGTACTTGGCCCTGTAAAGCCTGGTATAAAATCCTATAGTCACAACGCAAAACACTAAAAACGACCCCCTGCAACGAAAATCCATAAAACCAGTGTGAAGCCCTGTAGGACCCTGAAGACGATGTTATTCAACCTATATGTTTCACAAAGAGCGAAAAGTGAATCCTTCAAACTCCTCTTTGGACCATCTACAGATCCCCAGGTTAAATGTGGCTCTCGGGGGGCATGTCGGGTGTCTGATTGAAGTTTTTTCTAGTCTGCAGGTTGTAGGGTCTAGTGCTTTGTCGGCTTCTCTTGAGATCTGCAAGATATGTTTATCGGTTGTTGTGTGTATCATACCTCAGCACGCTGTGCTATATCGCATGCGACACTCGGGTTAGTAAGAGGCTATGCATTCTACTTCGTAAACTAACTCAAACCATCCCAAACCCTAAACCCTAATCCCTAAACCCTAAACCCAATCCCCGTGACCTGCCTGGGGTAGTGGCATGTCGAAGCGGTGCAAGCGATCGACCAAACGGGGATGGCACACTCCGATGTACGTCCACCTGGAATGCCGGCTAGGGTTGATGGCTTGGAGTGTGTGGCTTTAGCTGTAGCTACGATCTTGTTGTTTCATGTTGCTTCTTAGCCTTTACATAGAAAACGTAGGGTTTTTGGTGCTACAGGTTGGGTTTAACTGAGGTCTACGGTGGATAGGTCGCGCTGCTAGCTTCCTTGCCTCGACCCTACAAGCCCTCAAACATCAAGACACCAACCTTGTATCTGTGAAGCTTCAAAGCTTCACAGGTTCAGGGTTTAGGGGGGCTCAGGCCTTATCCTAGGTGGTTTATGCAAGCAGTGAACAGACGATCTGAGCGAGAGCGACACCTAAAGCCTTGGCCAGAAGTGTTCGGCTGTACAGACAACGAATTAGCCCGCGTTACCACGGAGACAACACAAACTCTAAACTCTCAACCCCTAAACCCTANNAAACCTCTAAACCCTAAACCCTAACGGTGTGTGGAGGAACCCCTGAATCCTGAACTCTAAATCTTTAGCAGACTGGACTGTACGCCCCAAATCCCAAAGATACAAGCACACTCTGGGGTTTAGGGTTTAGGGCGTGCTGCGCTGTCGTGCTTCCGAAACGTGCATCTTCGCCAACAAATGCATGAGATTGGAAAATATTGTATACGCTGTTTCTCATACAGTAACCCAAACCTTAACCCCCATGCAAAACTCGATTCTGCATCAAACTCATTCCCTGAACCTAAACCCCACAAGCTTCGAGCCCAAAACCCTAAACCCCTCATTATCCGAAGCAAACCTTGAACTACCATAGCCACGTTTTCTCATTGCAAAACCCTAATAAACAAATAAATAAATAAATAA